TCCCAACTGACGCTCTTTCTCCTGCATGCCGGAAAGGATCAAGCACGGCTTATGACCCAAGTGTTAAGCTACAGCGTAGGGATCATTCTTGCTAATAGCGATCTGCGAGTTTAGCGCAAAAACGCATGCGCACCGGAGAGCCTGGTGCGTTCGAGCCTGGGCTGCAATTTGCATTCATGCAAACACGCATAATAAACACAATAGTAGTTTACATCCCGTCTTGTTACGCCCGCTGTTTTTTATGTGCAAACAATGAGACCGAGATTTTTGAGAGGATTCGGACGAACGCTAACAAATTCGAGTCTTCCTAAAAAAACTACCTTGATAGATCCAGCGAAGAATTATTTGTGACATCAGTATTTACTATATTATAGTTTAATCTATGATAACTAACCTAAGCATGGTAACTTATCTAATAAGTTACAAACAATGGTAAAAAATAATAAATAATGGTGAGGGATAATAAAAAACAATAACAAGCAATAAAACAATAAAAATAGCAATAAATAATTAAAATAATCAAGCTTTTAACACAAATATCCAGGCGGCTATTCTGCTGCTGCGAATGGCAACGAAAGAAGGAAAAAAGAAGTGTACACTGCATGTTTTACCACAGTTAGGCACAAGTACATGTGCACGCAGATTTAAGTGACACAATCTTCAAGCCCGAAGCAAAATGATTGATAATCTAATGATTGGCGCAACACGATCTAAAAAATTTGGATATAGTGAGGATGGGAACTTCGATTACCTCCTGCCCATACATTTGCAAAAGGGGCTCCGTTAATACAATACTTTTCACCATCAGCTGCAACCTAATCGACACAGTATACTGCTTTCCCGTATCAAAATTGGTTTTTTGCTGAGTTCGAAGGATTATATAAACTCTGGCTTTCTGAGAGATAAAGAAAGAGAGAGGCCAATTCGAATAGAACGCCGGACTGGATACAAAGCTCCGATTTCTAAGAGATCGGTGCATAAAATCTGCTTAATCACAAAAAAATTTGAACTGGTTTATAATGGTGCTAAAGCACTTAAGCAAAGAGTACTTTCTGCAATGCAAATCTCTTCGCGACAGGTGAACCAAAAAGTCATACGTATAATAAAGGGAGGTTGTGAGTCAAGACCTCACTAACTTGAAAACGAACAGACCTCCTCTTCCCGAACCTACTCAGCTGATCCTTACTACGTAGCCATTGAACTATGCACATAATTAGCTGCATTTTAAGGTTAAAATAAACAGTCTTATTATTATCTTCTCCATCATCTCTCAGTAATTCGCTCCCTATAATGAATGGAGGCGCAAGGAAACATTTTTGTAGAGGCATTTCTGCGGTATTTATACGTTTTGCTGCTTAAAAAGTATCGGTGTGCGGGTAACTTTACGGGTGCATAAACCTCTTTATTAGTTTTTGAGCAAATTCACAGTATTATGAACAGGATAAGTGCCCATGCATAAAATTACTTACAAGAACAACAACAAAAAAAAAACGCAAAAAAGCGCTGCAGTGCGGATAGCGACTTGATTCACATGTGTATCAACCATTTTCATCATTTTTGAATTTATCAGGGAATATTCTCTAAATAAGTATTTTCACTCCAGCTGCAGTTAAAGCGATCTCCGGCACCAATTCTTCCTTAGCTAGAAATCTAAAAGACTAACTGCTAAAGTAAGTTAATTGAGTCTCCTTGTAACCCACGAAATAAGCCACTGCGTTCCTTTCTTTCAACTGAATCCACAAGTGTCGCGAAGCTCCTCAGTAACCGAGGCAGAATCGAGGTAATTGGTGTTGCAAAGCGGTTATTTTGAGAACGGCTGCCAGACAGGGGATGTACTCTGCGAAAAAGATCAGCTGATGTTTGAACTGTTTTCTTCTCCAAATTTGCAAAACAGTCTCCAATTTTGCACAGTGTCTGCTTTTGGGACAGCAACCATTATCACCAGAGAAACAATTTGGTAGCATGGGACAAGTGATCACAGCTCTAATGCTTGTTGCACTTCACGCAACCCACGTATGTTTCGGCAAGGTAAGTACCTACAATTTTACAGTGGATAATTTATGATAAATTTTTTAATAATTTATCATAAATTTTCAGACAAAAATTTTCTAAAAAAATCAGTCTAACTTTAGGTCAGTTATTATGCTTTATTTGATTCTATAATGGTCTCAGCGGAGTGGCAGCTGAGCGGTGCTTGCTTGAAGTGGCTTCTAAAGACGTGGCGCACATACAGTATCAACTGTAGGTATGCAGTTCAGAATGAACGCGCCTAACACCGATACGCCCACCATGTGAGAGAATTTGAGCGATATCGCTGTTACGAGATCCCCACTGTGGTTATCTAGGAAGTCTTGGTATTATTAGTTTTTGTTAGATTATTACGCGTTTTGTGCTGTGTAACAGCAGTCACGCGATTGTGTATGTGTGTCTCACATTTCGTCTCGCACTTTCAACTCGGTAACCACAAAAGCTAGGCGGCTGAAATTTTGGTAGAATGTTCCCGCCCATGTTTGATTCTGCAAACTTAAATTCGGCCTTCACTTACCCATGGGTACCATGTATTACCCCACAAAAACTTTGGCGAGAGAATTATTATTTTGAGAACCACGAAAGCTGAAATGCTGAAATTTTGGTAGGATGTTCCCCTCCCACATGCGACACAGCAAACCTAAATTCGGTCTTCACTTATCCACGGGTACCACGTATGACATCACCAAAGTTTTGGCACGGGTATTATCTCGAGAACCACGAAAGCCAGGAGGCTGAAATTTAAGGTAATGTGCGCTGCTCATATGCAGCCTTGCAAATTTAAATTCAGCCTTCCCGCTCTGGTATCACACGCGGCCCATGAGAGCTTTGGCGGGGAAATTATTATCTCACTAATCACAAAAGCTAGCAAGCTAAAATTTTATGATAGTATCCCCTGCCCAGATACGACTCCGAAACTTTAAATTCAGCTTTTCCCTAGTCTGAGTACCACATAAGACGCTGTGAAAGTTTTGGTGGGGGAAATTATTTTGGGGGCCGCGAAAGCTGGGAAGCCGAAATTTTAAGTCATTTTGTCTTCTGCCCACGCGCAATCCTGCAAATTCAAATTTGATCTTCACGCACGTCTGGACCTCAGCGTCTTTGTGAATGTCTTGGTGGGAAGAATTATTACCCGGAAGCCATGAGGTGTAGGGAACTGAAGATTTCAGGAGGATGTCTTCTGCGTACTCAGAGGCCACACAAACTCTAATTTAATCTCCAAGTAAGCCGAGGTCTCACGCATGACCACATAAGAGTTTTGGCTGTACAAGGTTTTAGTCAAAAGCCAGAAAATTAGGGGGTTGATTTTAAAAGGATGTTTGCAGGGAAATTTAGTGGGAAATTTCGCAACTTAGGGACTGGACAACATTTTTACTATTTTGCACAGACCGAAGTGCAAAGCACTGGACAGAACTGCGCAAAACGCATGATCGCACCGGTTACCCTGGTGCGCACCGCTACTTATTTTTTTAATTTACAACGTCGCTTTAAAAACAAATCTGTGTCCAAATTTAATTGACTAAAAATTCATAAAGTTGAAAAAATTCGTTTGCGTTGCTAAC